CAGTTTCCCTCAAGGTTGTTAGAATTATTTTGAAGGTGCTGCCAAGTGTTTGGCTTCCAGCAACTTAGCAGGTGAGTAGTCTGCAGTGTGAGTAGTAATTTACCACCTGGATCAGTTTTACAGGAGGCAGGAGGGGTCATCCCACCACCGAGCCTAGAACTGAAGCTGGCAATTCCACCAGCCTATAGTAGAGCTGATTGTGGACTGGAGTGTCACCAATCATCTCTATGGTATAGAAAACTGGAAATGGAAAGTATTTTGTCAGAACTGTTTCGCCAGATGCAATAAAGCCACTTTGGTTTGAAAAGCATCTGTTCACATCAGTCTTGGTCTGAGCTGATGCTGTTAAGGACAGAGGAGACAGACGTATTAGTAAAGAGGACCTGTCATTGCCTATTTGTGTATTATATGTAAACAGTGTTCCCGCTATGCATAATTCTAGCACCATACATCCTGTGCAATTTTAAATTTGTAACAAGTAAAGATTTTAAAGCCTTGCCTATGCATATTTTTAAGTAGTTTATATATATATATATATATATATATATATATATATATATATATATATATATATATAATATATATATATATATATATATATATATACATATAATTTTTTTTATGTTGTTAAATCATACATTTACCTATTGCTGCTTTCACACTGATCTGCTAGTTTCTTTCTGCTTTTTAACACAAAAGCAGAAGACAGTGTGACCATGTATTCCTATGGATCTCTTCACACGAATCCATTGCTGGTCTGATGCAGTGTTCAAAATCCTGCTTGCTGCATTTTTGGTGCAGGTTTGGTGCAGTAAAAAATGCACCAAAAACACAGGCAAAAAACTCAAAAGCCAAACGCTCATTTAAAAAAAGCATAAAAAATGCACCTGCATTGCTTCTTTTGAGTCACAAGTCCTTTAAAAAATACATTGCAATGCTGTAAAAATATGGTAAAAATGCACATGCGTTATTGCTGCATTTTTTTTTCTGATGATCAGTGTGAAAGTGGCTTTAAACAAACAAGAAAAATCAGCAAAAGGGGCATTATTTACCTTCAGTGATATGTGTCTCTTGTGCTGCTGTGATCTCCTTTCGCCAAAATCTTCCTACTTTGCTGCCTCACCCCCATTTTGGTAATCTTCAAGTGTGGCAGGGGTTAATAGAACTAGGGGTTGTGACATGCAATCATTAAGAGTGCCCGACTATGGGTACCCTTTATGCCCAGCTACCCCATTCATAGAAACTGTACTACAGCTTCTATAGATGAACCACCGTCTATGAATGGAGTAGATGGATGTCAAGGTCCTACCTTTTCCCTGAGGTTATGTTACTCCATGTGCTGGCGTCCATCTTGGATTCTGCTGTGCATGATGGGAATCCTTTTATGCCTTCAGGTCTCTGTGGTCCATCCCCCAGAGGGGTGTGGCTGATGACATATAAGCCTGTGGCCCGCACATGCTCTTTGCACTTGTGTCTTGTGTCTTTGTGTTGCTATTACTCTGTTCTGACTCTCGTGACTCTCCTGGTATCTGATTCGGCTTGTGACTTGACTATTCTTTGTATTCTCCCTTGATCTGACCCTCTGTTGCTGAACCCGGCTCGTGACCTGTGATTCTCGTCTGCTGTCCTGTACTGTTTTGTCCTGTTGGTGTTGACCCGGCTTGTCTGACTACACTTTTGTCTCTTCCACCAGCTACACGCCATTGGCGGCGGCCATTACCGCAGCTGAGGTGTCTCGGGGGCCGCGACCTGGTTCCTGGCTGCGTCAAGTCCATCCCCACCATCAGGGGCCCTGGTGAAGGGCAGCCTGGGACTTAGACTCCGCGCCCTGAGGGACTTTGGTCTGTGGGTAGTGGTTGTCGTCAGCCAGTGCGTTACATTGTTAGGCCTGCCTGTCCGTTCCTCGGCCCCTGCCCTGACAATGGACCTATTGACTATCCACCTGGCCTCCATTCATAGATCCTGCTTCATTCATGAAAGCTGTAGTACAATTTCTATAAATGGAGCAGCTCGGTGGAAAGGGGTGGTAATAGTTGGGCACTCTTGATAAGTATTTGTTACAGCCCCTTCAGTTCTATTAACCTTGATGCACTGAAATATTACAATAGCATGGGTGTGGGGCATAGAAGGAGGAAGATTTCTGCAAAAGGAGAACAAATCCACACAAGGAACACATTTCACTGAAGCCAAGTCATGTCCTTTGTGTGAATTTTTTATTTTAGGTAAACTTAGGCTTTAAGTACTACAGGATCAACACAGCTGACAGTGCTGCTATGCTTTTTAGTTTGTCTATGATTTTCTTTGCTATTTGTTTTGTGTCTCACGCCTTCTGGTTGTATTGCTAGTTAAGTCCTGTTAGCAAGCTGACATGATGCGAATTATAAAAATAAAAACATTTACCCCATAATTATCCCTTCTTGCTTCCCTTTCTTGTCAGCATGACTTTCTGCCCTGTTGCTTAGCTAATAGGAACAACTACAAAGAACACTAGGGGGGAATTAAATGAAAATGTTAAAGACTTTAGAGAGTGATGTCCTAGAAGATCAGAGGAAAAGGTCTTACAGATTGGTACCGCATAACAATTTACCGTTGTCTGCATGGGGGTTTTTCCACAAATGAAAAGGTACATTTTTTTTTAGCTATTCAAGCATTATAATATATATATATACGTACATCTCATAATACTAATCATTGCCACAAGTCTATATTTATCATCAGATCTACTGAACAAATTTCCTCTATCCACTAAGACATGCATGTTATGGTAAATGATTTCTGATGTCATAACTGCAAAACAACTAAAAGCAAGGATACCAGTAAACATCTATCAAGATGGTAGGAGAGCATCTTAAATTCTAGAATTGCTGAAGTGTACAAAATATATTGAACAAGGCATAGATTGGACTCATTAATACTTAAAATTTTATCTATCAAAGTAACATATAACTGCGTCAAGGTTAGTCTTGTAAATTTTCAACTTAATTTCTACAGTCTTGACAGCCTTACTGCTGTTTATTGGTATAACTGATATCCATGCTAGCACCAGGAGTCTTAAAACTAGTCAAGTGCAATACTTGATATACATCCTCCAATGGAATTTGGTTATATTATTATTAAAGGTCATGGAAGAAGTTTTCTTTACCCAGTTGGTTTCTAAAGTATTGAAGGTTAGAATTATTTTCCTGTCTAAAAAGTTCAAGAGCATCACAGTAGGATCAAAGAATACTCCAGTCTCATTAATTAATCAAATCATGTCAAGCCAGATCTTGTTAATCCATCCTTTGAGAAAATACAAATGATGTTTCAATTCTCCATGCAAGAATAGACAGAATAGATAGCGATAATGCTGTGCCAGCATAGTTAGAACTATTTAGCCACGGTGCCACGAGAAATTGTGCCATTTAAATTGAATTACGTTTTTCTTACTAGCAAGTTTTCAAGTGGTTAACTCTCTAGCACGCTTAAACAGAAATCTGCAAGGGTGATTAGAGGTCCTTTATTCAGTTGCACTTTTTATTCCAAAAACTTTATTTTAAGAAATGTGATATAGGATGACCTCCTAAATTTCAGTTTACATTTATTCAGATATTAGAAAAATTCAATAATTTAATATACAAATTAAATATAATAAGAACTTGTAGTAAAGGTAATTAGGTATAAAGAGTTTTTTTTTATATTGACACCATATTTAAAGGAGCCCTGTCAAGAGAAGAACATACATGTTTCTATCAGTAATTATTCTCACCCACTCTGCTTTACAATGTGCACACCTATCTACAAAGTGGAAACTCTACCATGAATATATATAAATAAAAAAAACACAGTGAACAAAGGTGTCTTATATACACTGGCAAAACACTAAACAGTAGCTGTTGTGCTTGCTCCACCCTTATCATGAATACAATGAATGAAGAAAAATACTTCGTAAGAGCCCAGCACTAAACAGAATTACAAAAAAAAGTTAACATAATTATAAAATAAATATTCAATAGTGACAAAATTCATAAAATGTGAAAAAAAAGCAAGACAGTTTTACAACATCCCACTATAATCAACATAAATGTGTTCTTTCAAATGTTACTATGTTGTTAGAAAGCAAAAACAATAGTGTCCATCAATTCTCAAATGTGCACAAACATATAGACCATATAACTGCAACTTTTTTTCCCCACTTGCAGATCTACCACATGCAAATAACTCCACTGTGCATCCATGCACCCGAATCTAGGACCACACTCACCAGATCATTATGCCTAACTTTCACAAGAAAGGCAATCAGGCTTTTTTTCTCTCTATACTCCCTCGGGCTCAAGCTCCTCAGTTTACCGAGATGTCAAATCCATCATGGTATAACCCCAAAAAAGAGGAATCTAACTGTAGTCTGCACATAACTATTTTATTAAAAGGCTGGTAATCATACTCACAAGCATTAAAAACAGGATCGTGTGAAAACACTGAGATCATAACTCTTAAAGAGCCGCAGCCAGCACCACTACAAACGCACCAGTGGAGGCTCCGGCTGACCCATGTGTGTCTGTGCAAACACTCATTCTCTGGGGCTGCCACTTCCTCCCCAATATTATAGCAACTTTCTCAGATGACTTACCAACTTTTTATTTTATCTCCTCTTGTCTCCTAAAGACAGCTGGGAACAGCAAACCAGGGCTGCATAAATACACAAAACAGTTAAAAAGTGGAGCAGTGGAAAGAAAATTTAAAATTTTTCCCCCTTGACTATGTTGGATATCTGCATAAAATATCATCCCCCATACCAAAAATGGTGAGTGAGGAAGATTTTAAGTGTCTTTCAGATACATTCTATCTCAATCACACTCTCTTGCAGGAAAGTGCCTAAATATTCCCCATGTCTAGTTGTCACAGAGATGATGCCATTAACTACTGGCCTACCCAGTGGATTGTTAAAGTGGTACTAAATCCTAAACATTTTTCACCTTAATGCATTCCCTGTTTTAAGTTAAAACATGTTTAGGTTAAAGTACAGGGGCGGACTGACCATTTGGAAACTCGGGCACTGCCCAAGGGTCCGGGGTCAGTAGGGGGCCCCATGAGATGCCCCTGGTACCTTTTTCATAGGCTTTTTTGAGTTTGGGCAAGGACACAGGGGCCCCATGATCCCCTATTGCCCGGGGGCCCCATGAGTTGTCAGTCCGCCCCCCTGTTAAAGTATCATCCCGCTCCCCCACCAATTTTTACCTGCACCCTCACTTAATCTAGCACAGTGTCCATCTGCAGTGGCTCTCTCCCTTCTCCCCACTCTCATAGGCTTTGCTGGGAGCAGGAGGAGCCATTCAGCTATCAGCTAAATCTTGTGATGAGGGAGCTGGGGTGGGGTCAAAACTTGCTTCTGTGTCAATGTACAAAGGCTCAGGATCAAGCACATAGGTGTTCCACCATAGGAAGAAGCTCCCTATGGTGGCACAACTAGAAGAGAAGAAAACAGGAGGAGCCAGGAGAGTCAGTGGGGGGGGGGGGGCCCAAAAAGAGGAAGTTTGGAGACACTGTAGATACACTGTACAGGGCAGGAAAGTATACACTTGTTTGTTATTTAACAAAAATATAATTTTAGAATGTACCGTCACTTTAACATCCATCTGTATCTTTGGGAGACTGTAAATAATCGGTATCCCACAAGTGAGCAGATTTAAATGTGTCACCAATTATTTTTGGCAATATATTTTTCTTACTTCCTTTTTCTACCAGAATCTTAAGTCCCTTCTTCTACTCAATCTTAGCATCTTTTCTCAGAATTTTATAAGTTAGATTATCAGAAAATAACCTCTCCATCTTTCTCTCATGTACTGTCTTATCTGAGATCACCACACCCACCACCACCACTATTGATCTGGGGGTTGAATGTGGTTTTATTTCTTAAGTCACCACCAATCCTTACTATCCTTGTATTTTCCCTATACTGTCTAATCTGAGGATTTCTCAAAAATATTTTTATGTGTTTTATTTTCTAATATACTTATCTATATCTATAAAAACCCTTCAAACATATTCAGAGGTTTCTTAGGCGTGTAAATTAAGCCTAAATGCCTTTTCTGATTAGCTTTTTATGTTATTTCATAATTTTAATTAACTAAATTCATACATTTATAAAAAGGTTTTTCTTGGTTTGGGGTATAGATAGGATAGGGGTTCATTCACTCTAGCCAGTAGGTAAATTCTAGATTTTGTCTGATTAGCTATTTAAGAAATTTTCTATAGATTAATTATGGACCAATATGTAATTTTTTAAATGGATGCACTAGAATTACATTTATCAAATAAGAGGTGATATTTAAAGATTTTTTTATACTGATGCACTTTTATTGTCATTTGACTTTATTTTAGCCATCATTTTAACTAATTGTTTTGATTTTAATATGGATTACCTGTATGCAGGGCCGGAGCCATTCATACAAATGATTGTTTATGACAGTGATCATCACTATTATAGCAATCATAGTGTAAAAAAAAATCCCTGCCCTGATCACCTCCCCAGAGTGGAGTATGTCACATACATGTCACACTATGTAAAAGAAAATTGTAGAGAAAAAAAAAAGGTTTTAAAAATTATATATATATATATATATATATATTATATATATATACAGTATTATATGACACTGTACTGCTCTGCTGAAAGTATGTAAAATAAAATGTGAAAAAACACATTATTGAATTTCTGCATTTTCCAAGATATTCTGACAAAAAATTGCAACTTAAAAAAAATCACGATGCCTCTAACTAAATACCTTTGACTGTCTACTTTCCAAAAAAAAATGTGTGTGTGTGTGTGTGTGTGGGGGGGGGGATTATTTGTACTGTCCTGGCTTTTTAGGACCTCAAGAAATTTTATATATATATATATATATATATATACTGCCCAAAAAATGTAACCCCTTGCCCTCCAGAAGATTTACCCCCCTTCCTGACCAGTCCTTTTTTTGTTATTCGGCACTGCACTATTTAACCGCCTCCTGCCCACCATATAAGGAAATGACAGACGGCCAGTGGTTCCCTTGTTCTGGGAGGACGTCATATGATGTCCTCCCACTCTAACCACGCGTGCGCACCCCCGGGGGCGCACGGCACGGCAATCGGGGGTGCTCTGTGTTTCCTGGAACACAGCGGATCACCGATCAGTGGAAAGCGCCAATGACTTTGGCTCTGTCATGTGATCAGCTGTGTCCAATCACAGCTGATAGCATGTAAACAAGGAAATGCCGGTTATTGGCAGTCCTCTCCTCTTGAGCTGTCACACTGACAGCTCGTGAGGAGAGGAGAGCCCGTAATTGGCATTCCTCAGAGGAGACATCTACACTGATCATCAGGGTACTGATGATCAGTGCCCTGATGATCAGTGTAGCCCCATCAATGTCACCTGTCAGTGTCCATCAATGCCACCTGTCAGTGCCCATCAGTACACATCAATGCCACATATCAGTGCCCATCTGAGCTGCCTTTCAGTGCCAACTATCAGTGCCAGTCAGTGCCACCTATCAGTGCCAGTCAGTGCTGCCTATGAGTGCTGCCAATCCATGCCACCTATTAGTGCCAGTCAGTGCTGCCTATCAGTGCCAGTCAGTGCTGCCTATCAGTGCCATTTATGAGTACTGTCTTTCAGTGCCCATCAGTGATGCCTGCCAATGCCCACCAGTGATGCCTACCAGTGACTCCCTCATCAGTGCCCATCAGTGCCACCTATTAGTGCCCATCAGTGCAGCCTCATTAGTGCACATCAGTGAAAGAGAAAAATTACTCATTTACAAAATTTTATAACAGAAACTAAGAAAAAACTTTTCTTTTCAAAATTTTCAGTTGTTTTTGGGTTTTTTGGCAAAAAATAAAGAACCCAGTGGTGATTAAATACCACCAAAAGAAATCTCTATCTGTCTCAAAAAATGATAAAAATTTCATATGAGTGCAGTGTTGCATGACCGCGCAACTGTCTTTCAAAGTGAGACAGCGCTGAAAGCTGAAAATTGACTTGGGCAGGAAGGGGGTGAAAGTGCTCGGTAGACAATTGGTTAAACTGGTAATTGCGCGGTCATGAAATGCTGTACCCAAATGAAATGTACGTCCTTTTTTTTACACAAATAGAGCTTTCTTTTGGTGGTATTTGATCACATGTGCGCTGTTTATTTTTTGCGCTATAAACAAAAAAACAAAAATGAAAAAAATTAATATTTTGTACTTTTGGCTATAAAAAATATATAATAAACTTACAGTTAGTCATACATTTAGGCCAAAATGTATTCTGCTACATTTCTTTGGTAAAAAAAAAATCCCAATAAGTGTATATTGATTTCTTTGTGTGAAAGTTATAGCGTCTACGAACTATGGTATAGATAAGCAAATTACGCCATTTTTTTCTATACAGCGCTGCGCTAGTTTAACTGACAATTGTGCGCTCATGCAATAATGTACATAAATGAAATGTATGTCCTTTTTTTTTTTAAACAAATAGAGCTTTCTTTGGTGGTATTTGATCACCTTTGGGTTTTTTTTTCTTTTGCACTATAAACAAAAAAAGACCAAACATTTTGAAAAAAAAAAACAATATTTTCTCATTTCTGTCATAAAAAATATCCTATAAACTCAAATTTAGTCATTAATTTAGGCCAAAATGTATTTTGCTACATGTCTTTGGTAAAAAATCCCAGTAATAGCATATTAATTGTTTTTTGTGAAAGTTATAGCATCTGCAAAGGGCGGTATAGATATTGAAATTGATTACACTTTTTGCTATACGGCGCTGCACTAGTTTAACTGACAATTGCGCGGTCATTCAATACTGTACATGAATTCAATTTATGTCCTTTTTTCACACAAATAAAGCTTTCATTTGGTGGTATTTGATCACCTCTGGGTTTTTTTTTGCAGTATAAAAAAAAAAGACCAAAAATTTGGGGAAAAAATGATATTTTCTTATTTCTGTCATTAAAAATTTCAACATACATTTAGGCCAAAATGTATTTTGCTACATGTCTTTGGTAATAAAAATTCCCAATAGGTCGTTCACAACGGACGGGAGGTCTTGGTCTTCCTAACTTTTGGCTATATTACCTCGGCTCGTTTTGCGCAATTATCACAATGGGCTACTATTAACTCTCAAATCCCGTGGATCAAGTTTGAGTCTCAGTCGATACGTCCTTTTTATTTACCGGGAATTTTATGGTCTAAAATCTCCCCCCGATCGCTTACTTTTCATAACTCTATAGTGACCCACTCGCTGACACTTTGGTCCAAATACAAGGCTAAGCTGAGTTTAGTCTCTCATATTCCCCCAGGTGTTTCATTTTTTGGTGATCCTACTTTTGTTGTAGCCTTTTCTTCCCCTCACATGTTTCGTTGGTGGTATGATCGATCCTTTATCAGATTATCTGATTTCCAAAGAGGAGGATCTTATATTACCTTCGATATGCTGCGCGTGTTATTTGATGTTCCTCTTCGTGAGTACCTTCGTTATAGACAGATTAGGCACTTTTTTAATGCGCACTTTGGCCTTACCCCGTCTTCTCCGATCTCTTTTTTTGAGCGTGTCAGCCGTGACTCTCCTAGAGGTAAGGGTCTTATTTCAGATCTTTATCACCAATTTTTGATCTGTCTTTTTCATGCTCCCCCTATGTACAGGCAGAGGTGGGAGGAGGATTGTGGTATCACTTTTTCGGATGAGGATTGGGACTCCATGGTGGATAATATATGCAAGAGCTCTAGATCTCTTTCGGTTCGTGAGACGGCCCTTAAAGTTTTAACCAGATGGTATTATACTCCGTCCAGACTACATACAATGTTTCCACAAACATCCCCTTTATGTTTCCGGGGCTGTGGCCGCACAGGTACTTTGGTCCATCTGTTTTGGGATTGCCCGAACATATCTTTGATCTGGCGTAAGATATCTGAGGTGGCTACCTCACTATCGGGCAACCCGATGCAATTGTCCATACAGACCTGTTTATTGGGGGTTCATATCCCAGGGGTCCCTGATGCCACTCTGAGATTGCTACATACATTATGTATTGCCACTTTATGGTCCATTGCCCTGCATTGGCGGTCTAATGTTGTACCCTTGGACTCCGTTTTTACACAGAATTGACGCTGTAATGCTTATGGAACGTATTCATTATACACTACTGGATAAGATGCACTTATACGATAAAAAATGGGAGTCATGGAAGGATTGTAGACATTTATTGCATGATTGACAACATCCCCGGTAAAGAATGGCTGACATATATTGTTGATAGATGTATCACTCAATCTATTTTATCATTTATGTATCTCATGCACTCATAACTTTCTTTCTTCCTCTATCTTCTTTTTTATGTTAATATACTTTGTATTGTACATTTCAAATGTGCCATATTTTTGTTGACAATATCACTTTCATACTGTGCTGTTGTTTTACTGTTCCCAATAGGTGTATATTATTTGACTTGTATGGAAGTTATAGCGTCTAGAAATGGTGGTATAAATACTGGAATTGACACCATTTTTTGCTATGCAATACTGCACATAAATGAAATTTATGTCCTTTATTCACAAAAATAGAGCTTTATTTTGGGTGGTATTTGATCACCTCTGATTTTTTTCTGTGCTATAAACAAAAAAGACCAAAAATTGAAAAAAAAAATATTTTCTCATTTCATAAAAATATCCTTAAAAAACTCGTATTTTGACATACATTTAGGCCAAAATGTATTTTTCTACATGTCTTTGGTAAAAAAAAAATCCAAATAACAGTGTATTAATTGGTTTGTGTGAAAGTTATAGCATCTACAAACGGCGGTATACATTGAAGGAAATAAGCATTTGATCCCCTGCTGATTTTGAATGTTTGCCCACTCACAAAGAAATGATCAATCTAAATTGAATGGTAGGTGTATTGTAACACTGAGAGACAGAATAGCAACAAAAAATTCAAAAGAAATGCATGTCTATCAAATTATGCACTGATTTGCATGTTCATGAGGGAAATAAGTAATTGATCCCCTTCACAAAACATAACTTAGTACTTGGTGGCAAATACCTTGTTGGCAATCACAGGGGTCAGACGTTTCCTGTAGTTGGCCACCACCCCCTCCCCTGCTGCCTTCCACGGCCTTCTTGGGTAGCCCCGTGCCATTGGGGGAACCTGAAAATGCAGCCGGAGTTTTCTGCCAGCTGACTATAGAGCTGATTGGAGACCAGAGTGGTGCCATTCATCTCTATAGTCTAAGAATTCGGAAGCTACAAGCATTTCATCACTTCAGTTTCACAGGATATAAACAGCACCATTTGTAAATTGGGAAAGCATCTGATCACACCGATTTTGGTTTGATTAGATAATGTAAGGGCAGAGGAGATATCTAGAGTCTGATAGACCCCAGATTTCTCAAAAAATATATGGCAATGCCCATTGAAGTTATAGGGGATATTTGCATTCCCTGTGATAGCATTAAAAGTGATAAAAAAAATGAAAGGGACAGTGTAAAAATAATTAAAAAAATTAAAAAAGCACCCTTGCCCTCCCTGAGCTGGTATGTAAACAGCGGTTGCACCATGCATGTGAGGTATCGCCATGAACATCAGATCAAGGGCAGTAATTCTAACACTAGACCTCCTCTGTAAATATATAATGGTAGCTTGTAAAGGCTTTTAAAGCATTGCCTATCAATGTTAAAAATGTATGCAGTTTGTTGTCACTGCATGAGGCATATGCAGTTTGAAAGTATGTCATATGTTTAATTTCTATTTACTCGGCATACCATCATCTTTTATATTTTACCAAATAACTGGCCAATATATTGTGTTTTTTGTGCATTAAAAGTAAAAAAGTGTGAAAAATCACTGCGCGAGTACTATGTGACATAAAAAAATTGCAGCACCCACCGTTTTATTCACTAGGGTGTCTGCTTTAAATAAATATATAATGTTTGGGCGTTTAAAGTAATTTCCTAGCAAAAAATACAGATTTTTTTCATGTGAACAAAAAGTGTCAGAAAAGGCTTGATCTTCAGGTGGTTAGAAGAGTGAGTGATGTGTGACATAAACTTCTAATAATCATAAAATGCCCCCACCCCCCAAAAATGACCCATTTTTGGAAAGTAGACAACCCAAACTATTTGCTGAGAGGCAATAGAAACATTTATTTTTTTACCACAAGTTTCTGGAAAATGACAAAACATTTTTTTCTTTTTTCTTTTACACAAAATTGTCACTTAAATGATTTATTAATCACACATGCAGAGGCACATTTACCACAAGGCAAACAAGGCACTTGCCTAGGGCGGAATTTTTCATGGGGGCAGCACCTCCTCCCAGATGAAGGGATGAAAGAAGGGACACCATGGAGACCAGGTGGGATCCACGAGAGGTTTGATGGTGTATCTAGAGCCTGACTCTCATTCCCAATGATGTCTGGAGTTTTAAAAATGAGTGTCTTTCTCTATATCACCGGGGGGGGGGGGGAGGAGTTGAAGGCTCTCCCGGGTGGGGGGCAGGGGTGTTGTTGGTCAATGTCAGGCTCTCTCCGCAGGAGGGGTAAGGGGTGGTGGTGGTATTAGTCCATGTCCTGTGGGGGCACCACCGCACACATACCATGGGTATATGTGGATTTACCCACCAAAATACATTCTGCTACTTCTCCTGAGTATGAGGATACCACATGTGAGAGACTTTTTGGCAGTCTAGCCAAGTACAGGACCCCAAAATCCAATAAATAGATAAATATAAAGCGCACAGGTGATCAAATACCACC